TTTTCAAATCCAGAAAATATTCATACTTTCAAACCGCCTTGTATCATGTATTTGTGTGTGTATGCATATATATGTATATGCTTAACTATATATTTATATTAAAAATATGTATATACATATATATGTGTGTGTGTGTGTGTGTATATACACACACACACACATGCACATTGACTCTTCACCATGACTCTAAAGTAATTATTGTCAATCATGTTTGATAGACTAGGAAACCAAGACTACAGACAGAAGAAATGACTGGCTAGAGGGAAACATAATTAGAAGATGAGTTTGTCTGTTGGTAAATCTAGCATGCAAAATGATGAGTAAATAAACATGGTACATGTATATAAAGATAAAAGTACAAATATGTATATATATATGTATTATATATATATAATGGTAGCTGGTTATACTTTAGATCTTTTAATAATTACCTTCTCTGTTTCTTTTTTCAGTTTAAATTTCTTAATACTCTTTTCTTACAAGTGTAGTCACATGGAAAGGTCGTAAGATATTTAAACTGACTTAAACTCTGAATAGTCTATCTTGGAAAGGCTGGGAATTGCAGCAGAGAGGTAGCCATGACCCTAGTAACACAGTATTTACAACAGTGATATTGTCACTAACATCAGTCTTAACTTCCTTCCCATTTGGGTGGAAATCTTTGGCATGAAACAAATTTTAAATTCTGTTTTAAATTAAATATTCTGTGACAGTTCTTTTGAGGAGATTGACTATTTAAAAATGAATCTAAGGGCTGGGAATGTGGCTCAAGCGGTAGCGCGCTCGACTGGCATGCATGCAACTCGAGTTCGATCCTCAGCACCACATACAAAGATGTTGTGTCCACCGAAAACTGAAAAATAAATGTTAAAATTCTCTCTTGGAAGGGAGGGGAGGGGGGGATATGGAGGGCAGCAGAACACAACTGACACTAGGATTGCTGTATGTATACACATGGATGTATGACCAATGTGATCCTGCAATCTGTACACTTGGAAAAATGAAAATTAATACCCTATATGAGTCAAATGTATGATATGTCAAGATCATTGTATTGTTTTGAACAACTAATAAAAAAATTCTCTCTCTTTAAAAAATGAATCTAATATATCAGAGAGACATTTATGAAGCTAATTGTTTAAATTAAAAGATAATTTTTCAACTCCAGCCTCCTGTCCTCATTTTGTTTAGATAGTGACTGGCAACTAAATTCTGGGAAACTCTGAGTCATTAATATTTCTTTCTTCTCCTTTTTTATTATTATTATTCAGGTGCTTATTTTAGTGTAGACTATTTTTTAATATTATTTTTAGTTGCAGTTGGACAGAATACCTTTATTTTATTTATTCATTTTTATCTGGTGCTGAGGATTGAACCCAGGGCCTCACACATGCTAAGTGAGCACTTTACCACTGAGCCACAATCCCAGCCTCACTGTAGACTATTTATAATACTATGCCTACCACTAAAGCAATTAAATATGCTGTGGAAATGTGATTTTCTCTATCTAAAACCAGGTGAAACATTTGGAAGTAAAGGAATTACAAAATTATCCCTAGAGAGTACTTACGTAAGTAAATAGAGTTTGTTTGTTTGAAAATTCACAATATTTTCTCTATGCGAATGGTCATAATTTATAGGTTAAAGTCTCTGTGAAATTAAATCATGGGATAAAGAGCAAACTTTAGGAGCTCTCAAAAATGTCACCTGAAGCATTTTTACTCAGCAACATCTAGGGAGATAAAATATTTATAAATCTTTAGTTCAACTTATCAAAAATTAAATAAAATTCATTTCTGCTCGATCTCTTGAAAACAATTCTTTGTCACCCTAACTCTATTATGAGATTTTATTATAGTAGAAATAAATGTCTTTCCTACTTAACATAAATAATTTTTGTTGTATTTTAATTATTTTTCTTTCTCTTATGATATTTTTACTGAGACGGAATCAAGTTGGATTAAAAAATTATAAAATTAGAATTACAAAATCATATGTAAAACTTATTTGTATCACTATGTGGATATAAATAAATAGAATTTATGAACATACTTAGGTACATATTTATACATGTATATATCTTTGGGGTTTTTTAGGCACTGTCTTTTTATGTATTATGTGGGTTTTTTGAAATTCTTTATAGTATTCATCATTTCTTTTGGTTTGTATAGTATACTTAATGATTTATATAAGAGTAAAACATGTCTGGATACAAAATTGATTTACTATGCCCATCTGAATAATAAATATCAAAAAGCAAAGTATTCATAAATATTAAATGAGGTGATAAATAAACTTTTGGAAGTCAGAAAAGTATAGGCCTCTTCTGAATGAGTTCTAGGGTACTTTTAAAATGCATATTTCTGGACTCTACTTCAGGCACATGATTCAAAATCATTAGTGTATAGCATAGCAATCTCTAGTTTGGTTAAGTCTTGGGTGATTCTTATGTCAGCACTGCAAGCAAGATACATGACATTTCAGAAGATTTTGAGTTTTGAAAAGAACTACTTAATTGCTGAGAAAAGATATTGGTTATCAATCTGCTCACTCTAATGTTTTATTTTCTTATTTGTTTTATATTTATGTAGACACAATCTAATGAGTGTAGTCTTTTCATAAGGAGTGAAAGTTTTTTTCCAGAAATTTGTAAATTTAAAATGTCAATTAAATGTTTGTTTTATTTTACTTCAACTTTCTATATGATTCTACCACTAGTATTTAAACTCAAAGGCTCCTAGTTTCCAAGTTTTTATTTTATTTTTTTTTTCAGCTCTTTCTCAGGGTAGCCTCATACATCAAAGCTTATGTTTGCATCCAGTCTTACTCAGCCATTCAAATTGCTTGTTTATGGGACTGCAGCAAACTGAAACTCTGATTACACTCTCTGCACCAAGCTGCAATGACTCCATTCTCGATTGCTACTGAGAAAATGTTTTAAAAAATACTTCTATTGGAGATATTTTCATGACACATATTCTCATTACTTGAAGCTCCTTTATAATATGTCATAAGGTATTGATTTTCATATGATATTAGAAAAAAAATGGGACTGTTACAACAATGAGCCATCCTAAATACTGTAGTATTATAAATAACAATAAAATTAATTTTTGTTAAAAAATAACTGTTAGAAACTAAATATATAAGAATATAAACCCTTCTAATTATAAAATTATTTATTTGAAGTGAGTATGAAAGAAAGATGTATTCCTCCATGTCTTGTCTAGGTTTTAATCCACAGGTTTCTTCAACTCTAGGAATATAGGAAAGATACTTTCTATTGGTAAGCAACTATGAACTCCCTAATTCTCTAAGAAAGATGAAGAACCATATATAGCATTAAACAGGAAAATGTGTGTGTGAATTTTGAATAGAAAAATTATTGTGCCAGGGTTCCACTAAAATGTATTTCACATAGAACCATTTTCAAAAAGGTCCTCTTCTTTTCTGAGTAAACTTCTTAATCTTACACTTTTAATGAAAGTGTATTCCATTTTATAGAAAAGGAATAAAATACAAAAAATACTGGAGGAGTTGAACAGATCTGTCTTTGTCAGCATCTACAAACTTATCCCTTTTCTCCTTGTTTTGCCTAAAACTCTTCTTTTTTCAGACATTTGCATGTTCCCTCACCCATCCTAGAGAGCAGGGGACCAAAGCAGTTGACCAGATACACTTAGCAAAAGTAAAATGAAGCTTAACCCCCATTCCTTCCAGCTTGGTTACAACTACTATCTAAGAGTGGTAACTCCCAAGAGAACCTTGGGGTAGTCTGGATTTCTTCTATGGCTATTTGTTTTTCTTTTTAGGGGGTAGGGAGTAAGGCAATTTAGGGTAATTCTTATACAGTTTTATTTAAAAATAGCAAAATAGAGGAGTATAATTAATGTAAATAGTGGATCTCTAACCTGCCTTTGGTCCTGGTTGGAATTTGAGATATGGTAGAGGCTATTTATGTAGGTAGATGAGTGGTTTACTATACTCCATGGAGGGTTATCCCTAATGCTCCAGCTTCAGGAAAGTTCCAAGAATTTAGATGCAAGACACTTTGTAGCACACTCATGCTCAGGATTTTTAGGACTCCCTCCCCCCTCCTCTTTTCTACTCAGTGCAGCTATGCTATAAAACGTTAATGCATACTTCAGAATTTTGGCCTCACATTCATTTGGTTCAGCATGCTTTCCAACACTGCAGCAAGGCCAACTCTTGCAGACATGTATTCCCCTGAGCATTCATTCAACTACATTCCCATCCACCACAGGGAGGGAGTAGCAATAACCAGTGCAGGGTCTCCAGGCTTTATTTTTGCTCCTTGGCTCCACAGGCCTTCTACCTGACTATAGGGATGTCCTGTGCAGATTCAGAGATGCTCTATCAAGTTTGACAAGCCGCCTTCCATCGGGCCCTGAGCAGGACCGCTGTCCTTGGTGCTGAACCATGTTTGCCCATCAGGAAGTCGGCTGCAGGGTCAATGGGGCTGGATAGAAAACCTGGCTAACTGAATAACCAGGTGCAGGAACGAGGGATACTTTGGTGTATAGAAACAGAGCTGCCCCCGCCCCCATCTTCCCTCACAACATCTCTCCTGTGTGCGCCAGGACCCGATTTGCAGTTTTCTCCCCCAGACCCCCACCCAAATGCCTTCAACATGGCCTCATCCTCAGGCGTGTGCAGCAAAAGCCCACCTCGACAAATCGCACTGCAGTAATAGAGAAAGGCTATTCCCCCAATACCAAGTCTAAAGGGATAGCTTTACCGCTCTCAAACAAAACCAAAATAAAATCCAATACATGAATAAATAAACGAACGTAACCTTCCTCTTTCATCCCTCCTGTTCCCGCCCCATATATTCACTCTGCCCCAGATTATAAAGCCCCAAATCCTAGAAGAGTGTTTTAAATCTGGGTGGTCTTCCTAGTTCCACATCCCCACCCCTTCCCCCCACCTCTCAGGGGGGGAAAAAAAAAAAAAACGACGCCTAAAAAGGCACATCTTACCCTGGGTAGAACGAGAGCAGGAGCAGAATCCACACCGTCATTTTCTGTGAAAATACAGGAGTCGAGTAGGCAGAGCTTCCTGCGCTCCATATATTTGGCAAACTCATCGCTTTTTTTTTTTCCTCTCTCGTGTCTCTTGCCTCTGGTTGCAGAAGAATCCCTCCCCTTTGTATTATTATTATGCTTATGGTTTGATGGTGGCTCCCCCCACCTGCCTGTAGTAGGTCCCGTCACTGGGGAGATGTATTGCTACCAGCTTCGGGATTAATATTCAGGGGGCAGAAATAAGATCAGCACAAACGCTTGCAGATACCATCAAAGCGTCAGCTCAGGCAGCGGCTTCCAAGTCTGGGGGAATAATATAATTGAGGTAGGGGGAGGGCACAGGGAGAGATGCACAGTGAGACAAACAGAGAAAAGCACGCACATTCATGCTGCTCACACTCACGCGAACTCCCCCAGTTCCATCGTTTTAGGTTTTATTTATTTGCTTTGTTTTCTTTCTTTTCTTTTTTATTTATTTATTTTTCCTTTTAATAAGGGCAGTGTGTGTGTGTGTGTGTGTGTGTGTGTGTGTGTGTGTGTGTTTAAAAGAAAGGAAAAAATCACTAGAAGCTCTGCGTGATTATCACGCAGATTAACTCAGAGGTCAAAGGGGAAATGATGCACGCTGCTGCAGCAGGAATTAACACATGAATGGCATCCTGCCACTGCTTTTTAACCCTTCTATGCATACAGACATGTAAGGATTGGCCTTCATGGAAAGAAGAGCTGCTTTAGCAAGTCCATAAACTACATCACTAATGACAGAAGGTTTGTCTTGTCACATCTGCCAAGAAGCCTTAATTTAAAATTGGGTAGTCTTAGAAATCAGGATTACATTGTTGGGGGTGGGGGAGCACTGGGGAAAGTGGCTGCTTTCCTATAAGCCATCCTGTAAGAATATGGATTTGGTGAATTTAATTTGAGTGAAGGGAGAAAATGCAGATGGGATTACAAGACATGGGAACATTCTATGCTCCCAGGATTCTATTTCAACTATTTCAGCTCTCCAACTCCAATGAAAACGTGAAGACATGAACTCCTTGAAGACTGAAGAAGACAATTTCATCCAGATAGCTGCTAGAGCAAAGAACATAGACCACACAATAGGGGCCTTCTTTTTTGCAGAGGGAATTCTGTTTCATTTATGAGAATTGAAAATTTTGGGTCCTTTAGTAGCAATTCTAAACATTCCTGGGGTGCATGAGTGGTATTAGAATGTTTCCTTCTAGTGTAGAATGTTGCCATGGATACTGATAGAATGGAGATACCCTTTTTAATGCCAACCTAGACCATCCATCACAGAGGAAACCCCACTCACTCATCATGGGGAAGAAGATGGAGGAATGTTGCCTGGTTCCCAGAGAGCCAACATGCCATAACCAAGGTGTTCATAAAGAGATTCAGAGGAATTGGACCTCTTCCTGGAAAGTACAAGGAAGTTGTCTCTAAAGTGGTACTTTTTCTTCAAGAAAAACTCTTCCAGAAATGAAATTTGAGTGGCAGGTCCAGGAGACAGGAACAGAACACAAGATGATCTGGTCCAAATTCCATCACTAACTCCAAAACATACCCCAAAACGCAGAGAGAATTACTGGTGGCTGCTGCTCATGCCATAGTCCAAAGAGATGTATTCTGACAACAAGCTTTGACAGATACACCTCAAAGTCTGCATGGCTTTCAAACTTTGATTTAAGAAAAGTTATTTTTGTACATTTGGAGGAAATATGAATAAAACATAGCAAAAGCAAAAGCATTCACATGTAGTGAAATTATTTCTCTCCACTGAGATTAAAATGGAGGCAGAACAATGTAAATCCCATTTCTCTGAAATTCTCCTGTTCCTTGCTGCAATGAGGAACATTGCCCCTCTCTGGTCAAAATTTGACTTTTTAAAAGAGCCCAGGTTGTTTATAATTATAGTGGTCTTAGTGAAGACAACTCATCATATTTTCATAAGGCCTAAATATATATACTTAGATGCTTATAAAAATCAAGCAAGTTTGAGAAATAAAAGAAGCGGGCTCATTATGAATTTGTAAAGTGGCAGAATCCATGCAAACTAGAGTGGTCATCTGAATGTAGTTACCACTGTCTGGTCCCAGATTTCCCAGAAGAAATGTCAGTGATAATTATTTTGTGAAATGTCCTAAGAAGGCCAAATCTAATAGGCCTTTAGGCTACTAATTTGCATATTTAATTATAGACTATATAAATAAAACTACATATAAGAAATCTGTTTTCTACCATACAAGATATTCTCAATTTTCCACTGTAAAGGTTTTCAGGTAAAACTGGATTCTGGAGAAAATGCAATTCCAGCCACTTTCCAGCCATTGGAAGGCTAAGGCAGGAGGATCACAAGTTCAAGACCAGAGTATGCAACTTAGTGAGACCCTCAGGTGAGTTTGTTTAGTAACAAGCATAATGATGCTGTGAGAATGAATGCTGTCCTTCACAAAACTCACAGCCATAATGGAATATAATGCTCCCTTAACTTATGATCTATTTCAATAACAGAATAGCTTCTAGCCTGGTAAGAGATTTCATAGAAGAAATTTTACTATTTGTAGAATCTGGGCACAGTTTTAATTGTGCTGTTCATGCCTCGTTGGTCTCACTATGCTTCTGTGGATCTTTCTGATCTGTTGACTAGTGTCTGATAAAAAGTTATTTTAATAAGTTTTCTAATATTTTGCATGTTACATTATTGGTATATTTAAGAGACATTGTCTTGTTTCTTTTGTAATCACCTTGTAGGTATATTTCCTCTTAACCACTCTGAAGAAAAGATTTATAATACATAAACATAACCATTATTTGGTAAACATGATGTATATATAGTCACTGAAATAGTACATATGTTTATGTATATATTTATTTACATACAATTTATTAAAATTTATAAAAAACATTGGGAAGTAGAAAGACAAAATCTACCACCTATGGCCTTTGATCTAAATGAGGCATTGGCATTATGCTAGAAAGTTATTTTGGATGTGAACCTTTATTTATTTATGTTGGTACTGGGAATGAACCCAGACTCACTTAACCACTGAGTCAGTTACGTACCTAGCCCTTTTTATTTTGAGACATGTTCTCCCTAAGTTGCTTAGTGCGTCCACAAATTACTGATACTTACCTCAAACTTGCAATCTTCCTGCCTCCTGCTTCCTGAGTCACTGGGATTACAGGTGTCTGCCACCATACCCAGCTGAATTTTTATTTTTGAGTAAAGTCTTCATTTACTTTTAATTCCAATTTACAGTATCATAATTATTAACATTATGGCCACTACACTCAGAAACAAATTATGAGATTAAAATTGAACAATATACAAAATCTCTCATTATTTGAGAAATTAACCATTCTGTAGATAATAATTATAACGGTTGGAAAAATATTAAACATACAACAATGTTAAGTAGAAAATTACCAAAAGTGATTAGAAAGTGTGAAGAGGAAACAGAATTGGATGTGACTTAATGTTTTGTGGCATTTCTCATCAGGACACTTAAAGGGTGAAAACCTTTTTCTTCCTATTTCCCTGACATTGTCTTGTTTTTAGAATGAAGACTCCCACATCCCAGGAAACCCAGAAGTGTAAGAAGCCAGAAACAGCAGAAAGCAGCAATCTTACTGGTTTGGAGTTTCAGAGGAGGGTAGGGACTGCAGAGCAGCATAATATGAGGACATCACTAGCAAAACAACAAGAGAAAGATAAGACTCCATATCTGAATATTCATTTGCCTCAAGTGTCTGTTTTGTGTGGAAAGGAGGAACAGATAGTAAGAAGCCAGGAAGAAGGCAACACTTGAAAATGTGTGAAGTCTGAGCCAATATTTCAGCTGCCACTCACCGCAGAAAGTGCAAAGTTTGGAACTTTAGTTAAAGGATCATCATTACCATAAGAGATGTTCCTTTTGGATTTTGGAAGGACCACAACCCTTACCTGTCCTGGACTAAAGACTTGCCCTAACAGTGAGGACTGAAGCTGATGAACTTGAAAACAGTGAGAAACTTGAAAACAGTTAGAAATTGGTTAGCAATTTAACTACCATTACAACAAAAACCACCATTGTTCAGAAGAAAATAACTAATCAAGAATGTTATTAATATATTCCAGAAAATGTCAAGTACATGGTAAAAAATATTAGATATACATAATACAGTATGAGAAGGTATTAAAAATAATTTCAGTCAATAAAAGAGGTAAAATGTAATGTGACACAGTGTAAATCGCAGATGAGGACATTTAATCAAACATTAAAAAACATTTAAAGCACTTAAAATATAAATCTGATCATGATGTTTGCATGAGCAAATCATCAAGCAGCATGAAATCTCAGCAGAAAAGGGAAAACTAGTAAATAAAAGCAAAGTGGAAATTGTAGAGCTTAAATTTTTAATGTTTGGGAAGAAAGATACTCTGCATGTACCTTAATAGCAGAAACACACTTGTAGGAAGGCAGAACATAGGAACAGTAAACTTGAACACAGACCAATAAAAATGATCCAGTATAAAAAGTACAGAGAAAATATACTGAACACCAAAAATTAAAGGAATCCTTGGGAATGGTGAGCTAAAATCAAAAAATACTTATAAAATTTTATAGGAGAAGAAAAAAATTAAGCAGAGACACATTTAACTTAATAATGGACAAAATGACCCTGAATTTGTTCTGGAAAATATTAACATAGAGATCCAAGAAGCTCAGTGGATGCCATGCAGGTTAAACAATGAAAACTATGTCTAGGAACTTATATACAGGTCATGTGTCTACAAACTAAAGATAAAATGAAAATTTTGAAAGTATCTTGAAAAAATGCAACATTATAATTGCAATTGCTGGTGGTCAATGATATAGTAATAGTTGACTTACCACAATAACTGTGGCCAGGAAAGTGGGTGAAAACATCTGTAAATCATCAAAATTAAATATATCCATAGAATTATGAATTTGGTAAATAAAACCTTCAAAATTAAAGCAAAATAAAAATATTTCCAATAAGTGAAGGCTGGGAGAATTTGTCACCAGTAAAGCTGAGCTAAAAATAATTCTAACAATTTTATGCTTAAAGAAATACCAGATGGAAACACAGATCCATATTAAGGAAGAATGCTGAAAAATGGTTAATATGTGAAAAAAACATTAAGCATCATATTATTTTAGCTTGATTTGTTTAAAAGACCCTAAGCTCCTTTGGTTTCTGTTTTAATTTTTAAAAATCTTTTTCCATTTTATTTTTGACACCCGGACTATATAATGCTAAAAATTATAATACTGAATTCTGGAGTTCACAACACATACATATAAAAAATATGTTAGCAATAGTACAAGCACCCCAGAGATGGAGTTAAATAAACTCATACTATTACACATTTCCTGCATATCTTATGAATTGGTATCTGAGTAACCATAAATAGAATATGATAAATGAAAGATGAAAATAGTAATCATTAAAACATGACAAAATC